TAATATAGCTACTTGGCAAAAGTGAAATCCTTAATCTTCAACTTAAGCTTGTTAGAACATTCAATAGTAAAGCAAAATTTCAGTGATCAATTCCTAATCCAAAATCTTAGCAATTCTCAATCACCATACATACTCAAATCTGACAAGGGAGAGAGTGAAACTTGGCTCACCAATAAAGCAAAGAGTACCGAAGGAAGGGGAACCAGAATTGCAATGACAGAACATGAAGATCAAGAAGAGCAGCTGTGAACCGAAACAGAGGAAGGAAAATTCACGCACCAACAACTGCACCCACAGTGACGCACGAGTGGAGGAGAAGCAAGACTGAAGCTTCCAATCACCCACACCTCGAGCGACCGCAATAGAAGAACATGATCTGAGAGAGAAAGGCGTTGCTATTCCAACACCTAGAAGATCGCTGGCGATATTGAAAACGAACACACGCATGGCTGTCAACTTAGAACAGAGACAGTATTAGGGAATGACAAACTAAGAAATTCAGAAACTCCATGCTCTCCCTCTCAGTGACAAGAACACAAAATAATAGCTAGCACATACCTCACGGGCTCATGTTGACACAGATCATCACGAAGACAGGGAAAGGAAGTCAGCAACTGAACTTTAACGTGGCTGGAAACGTGAATGAAAAGGAAGAAGTAACAGCAGCAAAACAATCTCCTACCACAGCGAACTTGGAAGGTTTATAAGAGTGAAGGAAATGAACCGACTAGAAGCGTATAGAGGAGTGTATAATGGCGGTGGAGAACCGAAAACAAGATGCTCTGTTTTTGGGTTTTTTTTTTCGCTTGAGAAAAGAAAACTGACCGAAAGGAGTTCTTGAAAAAATTACAAAAATGAGCATGAAAAAATTACAAGAAAAGGCACAATAATATTACAAGGAAGGACATGAGATTTTCTTACAATTTTAAAACTAACCATTTGCTCAGAAAAATTTAAACTTTGGATCCTCAAGAAAATTTCTAGCATGAGTTCCTCTAAACTATCAATTTCTACTTACTAGAAATTTATTTAAATAAAATATCTATTGAGAGAATTTTTTTTTTATTTTTTTTAAATGTATGGTCATTACATTTACACTATTGGTATGATGCTTTTCAATGTGCAATATACCTCATCAATTGATTGCCTATAGAAGTATTGAATGGTGATTTCCATATAGCTCTTTATCTGGTACTAAAATTGATCTAAAATCTCTAAGAGAATTTAGTAGTGCTTGCTTTTCTTGTTTCACACCCTACAACAATCATAAATTGCAATATCTCTCACGAAGTGTGTCTTTCTTGGCAATAGTCATGAGCATAAACGGTATAAATGTCTCAATAGCACTGGCCATATCTTTATTTCCAGACATGTCATTTTCAATGAGCTAGAATTTCCTTTTCAACATGGTTTTTTTTTTTTGACAACAAAAATCAGAAGTGGTTCAACCAATTGATGTTTCGCTATTCATGTTGCCACCAGTACACAATTTTACTCAATCAATCTATTTCATCTCCTACAGTTGCAACTATCCCAGTTACTAATCCTAACACTCCCTCCACAGCTCAATCTCAAAACCATTCACCACAACTTTCATCCATACCACACTCAATCATTCTTCCATTCCATCTTCTAATATTGTTCACATTTCATCACCTCCAATTGTTTCTCCTCCACTTTAAAAAAACACTCATCATATGGTTACCTGCAGCAAAATAAGAGTCCACAAACCCATACATCCTTTTGTAGGTGTCACCAAGAAAGTATTAGAAGTTGAACCAGTCCCCCTCACTATTTTTAAAGCTTTATCCAAACTAGCATGATATGCTGCTATGAAAGATGAAATTGATGCTTTACAAAGAAATAAGACTTGAGTTCTTGTTCCATATACAGGTTGTGAAAGTTTGGCTGGTTGTAAATGGGTTATGAGGGAATAAATACAATGCAAATGTTAGTTAGCAGAAGCACAAAGCAAAAGGTTGGTAGCCAAGGGGTTTCAACAAAGCCTTGATGTAGATTATTATGAAACCACAATCCAATTATCACGCCCCAAAAATAAAACGTGACCGGTAGGGAATATATGTGCAAAACCCATATTCCTTAAGCCTTGGACACAGGTTATTATGAAATAAAATATAATATCTTTAATACTTTTTCATATAAACCAAACATTAAACTTCTTGTAAAGAAGAATTTCAACAGATGCTCTTCTATAATTAAAACATAAAATTTTTCAACAACAAAGAACATCAATAATTTGACAAAAGAAACTCTACTTCTTACCAATAAATATACAATCTTATAGAAAATATGGATACTAATATAGTTTATGTGGAGCATCTAGGACCATACTACAAAAATAATACATAAGTGTAAATTTACATTAAGTTGAGATTTTTCTTAAAATAATTCTTGCAACTTATCTCAGCAATAAATGCCCTCAATGAACACTTTGAGATACAGATTAATCTATACATATGAGACCAAAAAACATCTTTCCTAGTAAATAACGTTCCAAATTTAAAATTTAAGGAAATAAAATAAAGAAACATAATTGGAATAAGTATTAATTTTACTACAATAGTAATTTAGAATAGCAAGAATACATAAAGAAAATAATTTCATTTAAACACTTGATCCAAAATCATCGTTATATGATGATAACACAATAATCCAATTTAACTCTCTAGTTATCAAGCTCATGTCAAACAGTTAGGAAACGCATTTCTTGTTATAACGAAATCCATTCATGAAAATCAACTTATTTAATAAGATTCATTAAAAAAATCCCAAAATATTTTTTAGTAGAACTTTATCAAAACATATAACAAGCATGGATACACAGTTCACAAGGGTCAATAACTAGTCAAGTATAGTAGGAGCCACAAAAACAAGCACAGGCATGAGCCTACGAAAATAAGTGTGAGTACGATGCTCACAAATAATTACCCCTCTATTCCACGTCCGTCGATCTTCACATGAGAGTAGCACCTCCTATAAACAACCTGCTAGCTAGGTGTACCATAGTGTGCCAAGGGCTAATAGGATTGCCGTTAGCAACCAACGTTCTGATTTAGTCTCACAATTTAAATCAAACATGCATGAATTGTAATCATACATCATTCCTTAACCCATAAATCAAACAATATCAATATAATAAATATGATAGATACCCAATCATAAAATAATTTTAACTCTTCTTTCAAAACTTAGTATATCAGAAGCATCTTTGTAATAACCCTGACAAATTTTTTTAATAAATATATATATGTGTGTGTGTGTGTGTGTGTGTGTGTGTGTGTGTTAATTTGCTTAAAGTGTGTTTATATTAGTTCTTAGGATAAATATGACAAGTTAGAGAGTTGATGTAGTGGCAGCTGAGTAGGTATTCATGTATCAGGTTCCAAGCTCAAATCTGAAAGAGGCCAGAGGAAGAGTTAATTTTTTTCCTTTTTGCTATGTGAAATTACCAAATTTCCCTTCTCCCATTATGATATAATTCTTCTCTTTTCTTTTGTCCAGTAGATCGGTGCGTGGGTCAAGAGAGCTGTAGATTTCACCAGAAACTTCGAACCCTCTTCGTCCAGCCCTTCATCCATTATCGTCATCCCTGTCATTAAACTACTCGCCGGTGACCTTGAGAACACCAGAAATTCCACCATGGGAGACGTTCATTGATTGGTTGTTCTCCCCTGTTTTCGTGTCATTCTCCCTTATCTTGTTGTCCGTGAACTGTGCAAACGTTCCAAGCTTCCTCGTCGTTTTTCTTTCATCCATCTCAGGTGGCTATGAGTTCACCGAAGTCTCTTGCTCTTCTCGCGTTGGAGTCGTGCAACAGACCTCCTCTCTTCTTCTTCCTTTCAGCTCGTTATACAGAGCTGTGTCACATCTTCCTTCCTTGTTCAGTCTCAGTTGGGCGAGGTACAGATTATGGTATTTTTCTGTTACTACTATCAAGTTTCTCAGCTATGTTCTTAGTTTGTTATGCTTTCTTCTACTCGATTCTGATTTTTGCTCTATTTTCACAAATTTCATTCACATGTTGCTGATGAATGGAAGAAATCAGCTCGCTGGAAATTGGTGGTACTGGTTATGAGCTAGAGTTGATGTGGATTCTGTTCTCTTCACTTTCTTTCAAATGGTGCTCCATTTTTCCTCTTGCTCAGCTGTGAATTTCATTTTCCTCCTCCCCTGCTGTATGTTGTTGGTCCATCTGAGGTGAAGAGTCTTGATCTCTTCTCTCTTTCTTCTTGATAACTAACACACTTGTGTGTGTGATGAGATAATATTGAAATTGCTTTTCATCTCTTGATTTTCTGTTGCTACCCATGACCGAATTAACAAAAATATGCATTAGTATTGAAGAATGATGGTGATACATATGGGTCATAATTTTGGAGTTAAATTGATTTTGTTTGATTTGGTTAATGTTAAAGAATTTATTGAGGTGAAATTGGAAGAGACAAGTTTAGATATATTGTTGGTGCCTATAAGATGTTATTGAAGGGCTTGTATGAGGAAATAAAATTTAACTTCTAAATATTGATGGAAATTATTGATTTAGGAATTCACCTGTAGATCTATAAAGGAATTTAATTATGGGCTTGCATGCAGTTATTTGTATATTTGGAGCTTGTTTATTTTTTGTAAATTGTTAAGGTTTTAAATTGAAGAGGTAGAAGTAATGCACCTAAAGTGTAATAATCCAAAATTTTTAAATAAAATTAAAATATAAAATAATATTTTTAATTGTATTTATATTAATTTTAAAAAATTATTTTTATTATGAAAGAATGGTGGTTTGGTAAAATTTCATTGTTAATTAATATGCATCAGGTACAAGGTCCACAAGGTCAGATTACTCTTTCAAAAAGAAAGATTTTTTTTATATGTCAGTTTCAGCTTTGCAAATTTACTATTTTGACGTCAAAAGCAATCAGATTTTTTCTCTTTCCTGGACCATTTTCTTTTCATTTTCATTTGTCCATCAGAATCACAAACAGAGGATAGAGACGCGAGACAGAGTGAGATCCAGATTTGAGCCTTCATTCTCCTCCTTGCTTGGCTTTCCTCCTTCGCTAGTGAGTAGTGTATCGTCTTCCACCGCTGCAAGGTGTCCCGACGAAGTGACTATCGACCTTCTCCCCTGTTGTGTCAGCTAAGAAACTGGCCTTGTTGACGGTGGGTGTCGGATCCTTCTCCCTCCTCTGTTCTTAGCGTCACCGGCATGGGTGGCAAGGATTCGACTTGCCACCACCTTCCTCTACCTACGCTTCACTTCGTTCAGGTTTTTCTGCCATCTCCTTCTGCTCTTCTTCCCTGACCGCTGTACCAAATCAAAGACCGTTCCTCTTTTCCTCACCGGCGTCGATTGCGTAGGTAGAGCTGATCCTTTCTTCTATCCGTGCACTGCTGTTGGTATTGCCATCAAGTCCCTCATTTATCGTCTTCCTCTGTTTCTAGGTGTTTGTAAGATGGGTAGCTCGATTGAAGTATAAGGAGTGAGTGTTGAGCTTTGAATGTATTACAGGTAAATGGTTAACGTCAATCAATTTATATATTTAAAAATTTTCTTTTATCAATTATTATTTTCAATAATTTAAAGTTATTAATATATGTCACTCTAGCATTGATTAATATTGTTGATTAAGTTTCTTTAGCTCTTGAAGTTATTATGATTTATATTTATAAGATTGGCAAAAATATTTTTATAAATTCTAGTACTTTTTATTCAATAAAGACAATCATAGAAATGAGTGAAGAAATTTATGGAACGTTAGTTGTGAATCTTCATATTTTAAAGGATTGATATTTTAAACAGTTCATGCGAGTTTGATATTGAGAAGAGAAAAGTTTATTTTAAAAGTGATGATTTTCTCACATGTTTGAAAATGAATTTCAAGGTGACTTTATACAGAACATTGGTTGCTAACGGCAGTTCCGTTAGTCCTTGGCGCGCCATGGTACACCTAACTAGCAGTGTGTTTATGGGAGGTGCTAGCCCCGTGCGATGGCCAACGCACATGGAACGGAGATGGTTATTCGTGAGCATTGTACTCACGTTTGTTTCGTGGCTTCAAGCGCGTTTGATTAGCATTACTCTCGTGGACTGTGTGTCCACGTTTGTTTCATAGCTTCGGCTGCATTTGGTTACTTACCCTTGTGGATTGTGTGTTCATGTTTGTATTCGTGGCATAAGTTGCGTTCGGTTATTTACCCTCGTGGATTGTATGTCCACATTTGTATTCGTGGCATAAGCCGCGTTCGGTTATTTACCCTCGTGGATTGTGTATCCACATTTGTTTATTGTTCTGATAAGTCCCTAAAATTATGAATTTGATTATTTGGTGATTTTATATTCCATTGATTTTTATTTAGTAAACTATTTACAAATATTTATATTATTTATGTGCTTTCTTGAAATCAAGTGGTAATAACATTTGTTATGATAGTTTAATGATTTAAGATTTTATTTAAAATTTTATAGAGCTATTTTATTTTGAAATTTATTAAATTTTTATGAAATTGTTATCTATTTAACTTACATAATTATTTCAAACCTTTCTTTTTATTCATATTCAATTATTTATTATTGGGACATTATTCACTGAAAAGTATTTTTTTGGCCTCAAATACCATAGCTGATTTTGTACTCATTACTAATCTCTAATGGGCTTGTTGCTGAATTGACTAAAAGATTACTTTTGAGAATATCATCTTATTCATGTAAAATTCGAAAACTTATGTAGGATCTTTTGGAAGTCCGATTTAGAGTACTCCACATCAACTATAGTTAGGGTCCTAATTTCTTTTTATGTTAATTACTTGTTGCTGAGAAGCAAAGCTCTATATTGTTGGATATGTGATGTAAACTTTCTGTTGTAGAAATTTCAAAGGACTCTAGCTTTAGGGGAGGTGTTGCAGAAATTTTTTTAAAAAAAAAAACGTTTGATATTTTGATTTATGTGAAAAGTAAAATTTGATACATTAATTCAGAACTTTTCTTAATTGAAGCTTTAAGGGATGTGAATTTGTACATATATCGCATGTTGGTCACGTTAAAAATTTAGGACGTGACATAAGGTAAATGGTGCAAAGATTGGCAGAAAACTTATATTCCAAGAAAATAGAATGGCATGGCTAAAGTTTTATGGAGAAAGTTAGAGGAATGAACGATAATGCTTGAACCAACTTTAAATCATAAATTTGGTTTTGAATTTTAGATGGTGGTTGGTAGAGATTGTGTTATAAATTAAAAAGTTATTAAATTGTATATATTTATATTTTATAGGGTATGTGGAAAGAACAAGACTTTGACAAGAATTAAAAGAAGAATACTTTCGGGAATTTAAAACTCCAACGTGTAAGTGAATAGCATTCATTTAATTTATTTTTAATAGTCTTTTATTGAAATATTTTATTCTTATGAATTGCATTAATTTTGAAAATTATGAAATATTAATGAAGGACAAACGAGTCATGATATGTGCATTTATTTATTTTTAAAAGGGTATTTCCAAGATTGATGAAGCATTCTCGTATGGTTATTAAGCTTTAAAATGTATCTGCTATTCAATTACTGCAAGTTTAGTATATTAGCTATTAAGTATGATTTTCGCAAATTTTGAGAATTGAAATAATTCATACGAGTTTGGCATTGGTAATGGTAATTTTATTATAGCAATTATTATTTTTCTCGCATGTTTGAAACGTGATTTTTTTTAGGACTCTAAACAGAACACTGTTGCTAATGGCAGTTCCATTAGCCTGTAGTGCGCTGTGGTTAAAAACTAGCTAATTTGTCTCGTGGGCTTTGTTCTCACTTTTGATATTCATGGGCTTTGTACTCGCATTTGATTCCGTGGCCTGAGCCGCGTTTGGTTAGCATTACCCTCGTGGACTGTGTGTTCATGTTTGCTTCGTGGCTTCAGCTACGTTTGGTTAGTATTACTCTCGTAGACTGTGTATCCACGTTTGTTTTCATGGCATAAGCCGCATTTGGTTATTACCTCGTGGACTGTGCGTCCATGTTTGTTACTTATTTGTCGAGTTCTCAAAATTCTAAATGTGGATAAATATCTGTTTTCAAAATTTACATGATTTTGGCTAGCAAATACATCACTTGGATTCATGTGTGAATAAATGGTTTTCTTTAAGCATGAGAAAAATATAGTACTTCCAACTTACTTTCATTTTACGGTTATGATTACGGCTTACAGAGTTACAAATTTATTTTGTTGAATTATTTTTATTTAGTTTACGCTATCATTAGAGTTTGTTAATTTAAATTTTAAAATTTTACTTTCGGAATGCGATTCACTGAAAAACTTATTTTGGCCTCAGATTTGTTAGCTGATACTGATCCTACCATCGACCTCTGAAGGGCAAAATGGCTACAGTGGGTGGAAATTTTTTATTAGTACTGTTACTTTTAATGTAAATATATAATTTGTATATCTTTTTGATTTAAAGAAAAATTAGATGCTCCATATAAATTGTTGATAGACTTTGTTTTGGTTTGTATATTGGTTGCTGGCTGGAAGAAGCTACGCTCCTGATTTGTACTATTATCTGTAAAAAAATTTTGTTGTAGAATTTTTGAAAAATTCTAATTACAGGGGAGGTTCTATTGAAATTTCTACAAAAACGTTAAAACTTTCTTATGACAATTAGCATGAATTTTTTTTCTTAACTTTCATGTAATTTGATTAATTTTTCTTTCTTTTCTTTTGTAAAATGAAATAAATTTTTATTTTGAGGCTTATGGGGATGTATGAATGGTTCGCACCCGTGCCAGTCACCCTCTATTTTCGGAGCGTGACAATCTTTCTTCATAATAAGCGATAATGAACTTAATTCAGAATGATAAAATAGTCACAGACATGTTGAAACATTATTTTGGAGGAAATAAATTTATAAATAGGTTATTTGGAATGCTATTCACTTACCTGAGACAATCCCAAACATATAACTTACTCTTAATTAGCCACTTTGTAATATTGCCTGCACCTTAATTTCCTAATGTCCAAAGGAACATTATTGTTATTTCTCTTGTACACTTTATAAATCCTAAATCTTTAACCCAAACAAATTCAGAGAATTCAAAAAGAGAATCACAACATCAACCTTTCACAAATAAGAACCATGTTAAGTTTAAATAATAATCTTCAACATACATGCATATAAACACTATTCAAAGTTTTCAAGTCTTCAAAAAATTTTTTGGACTGTATGTACCCAAAAGCTAACATAACAGTAAACAAACATAAACAAAGATTAACCAAATACCATTATATATATATATATATATATTATCTAACTTCATTTTTAATACTCCATTAAAGAAGATTACTATAATAAACAATAAACATTTATCAAACCATAAATCTTCTATCAATCATTTCATTGAGCACCTTATGTGCATTTAAAATGTAAATCATAAATCAATCATCTTAATCTATAAACTATCCTTCATACACCTTTATTCATCAACAGTGACTTTTCAAAGTTCCTTTAATCAATTGCTTAACAACTGTTTCCTTATAATAAAAATAAAACAGAATTTTATCTCCATATTTCTTATCTTATCATAACGAAATAGCTATAGAAAAATAGCTCAATCAAAATAAATCTCTTAATCTAATAGTTTCAAATAACTAACATGCTAAATCCTAAATTTACTCACAACCAGCAGTAACCACAAAAAAGGGATTAGGAATACCTCAAATTGAGAGAGAGAGAGAGAGAGAGAGAGAGAGAGAGAGAGAGAGAGAGAGAGAGAGAGAGAGAGAGAGAGGTGTTGAATCAAAAATCTCTCTCACAGCAACGAAGAGGAGGAGGTTCAGTTCTTTACCCTTGCGGCAACAATAGGAAAATGAAGGGAAGAAGGAAGATTCGAAACTTTGATCACTCTTACTGCAGCGTCGACAGCAGTGATAGAGAAGAAGGAATCGAAAGAAAAAAAAAAACAGGGGAGAAGAAATCGTGAGATGAACGGCGATCTACAGTGGTGAACAAATGGCAACAAGAACAAACAAGAACTGAAGCTCTCTTGTTCACACCAAGACAGCATAATGTCCGACAGAGATGCAAGAAAAAGTCAGGTGTGCACGAACAGGGAAGAAGGGAGAAGAGTTCAGCAACCTCAAGCAGCCACAGATCACCCATTGCACACACATAGGCGACGAACGGACGAATTGCTGGAAATCCATCACCACTGTCTTTCACTCACGCTGGTGACGGAGGAGTAGAAAAGTCGCGAAGGTTCCTTTGTTTATTTCCGGAAGCTCTCTGTCTCTCTATTTTTCAGATGCAAATCGCGGTGAAAAAGAATGGGGAGAGATGAGAAAATCTGATATTATGTGTTTTTTTTTTTTTTAACAGGAGCGTTTTGGTAATTTTGCATTGTTAAAGTAAAATAAAACCTCTAAGGACCCGTTTGGTTTTTTCTATTTACATTCAGAAAGTAAAATTTTACTTTCAGGAAGTTGAAAGTTATTTGGGTGAAATATTTTGCACAAAAACATATCCTGAAAGTACATTGAAACAGTAGCTGAAAGTGAATTTATGAAACGTAATTATTTAAAGCTTTTGAAAAATGAATTTGAAAAATAGATGTTATTTGACCATACTATCCAAAATTTAATATCTTATTCTTTTATTTAAAAATGATTAATTCATTAAAAATATAATTATTATTTCAATAATAATAATTAGGAATCATTTTTTAGCATTATAAATTGAATAATTAATCATGTTAATTTTTAGCATTAATGTGTAATAAAAATTACAAATCTTTATCACATTTTCTAAAATTATAAATTAAAAAAATACAAATAACTAGAAATCAAATTTTTAGCATTATAGATCAAAACTTATGTTATTTAAAATCTTTATCACATTTTTTAAATATTTCAAATATATTACATTTGTATAATAAAAATTACAAATCATCATAAATCAATGTCTTTTTTGATAATTGTACATTCAAAAACACATTTAACTATCACAACCTAAACAACTTTTAGTGTTTTAAACTGACTTTTAAAAAAATATATCCAAACACAAATTTTATTACAACTCACTTTCATTAAACTGATTTTTACCAAATGGATTTTCACTAAATAAACTTTTGACAAACTACAAACCAAACACACACTAAGTTGACATGATGAAATTTGAACTCAAGACTAGCAAGTAGACAACCATGCTATATCCCACTAAGCCACTCATTTATCTTGTTACATCTGCTGCAAATTTATAAAATATAAATCAAAATATTTTATTATTATTTATTCTTCAACTAATTTTTTTATTATATCATAAGTATTTCTGGGGTTATTACACCAATTGTTCAAAGCATCTACACACTACTAGAAAAATGTAAATTAGCGAGGAAATTTAGCGAGGGATCATCTATTCCTCTCTAAAATACCAATTTAGCGAGGAAATTAGCGAAAGATGTTGATTTTGTAGCTTGACTTAAAATTAATGAGGGACTATCAATCCCTATCTAAAATAAGAGAATTAGCAAGGAAAATAGTGAGGGACTGTCAATCCCTCTTTAAAATAAGAT